GGTTCAAATTTGCAACATGTTCAATGTCATTTTGCACAAAATACAATACTTACAGAAACAAAGGTGCTTTGATTATGTATCAACAGTTATCACGCAGTCAGAAAAACGGTATACTGAGAACAGGTAATCTTGGTGAAAGCGGCACAAAACAGTTTCCTGCTTGCAGCAAAATGTCGTCTGCCCCTGGTCTGCACAGAAATGGCGCGCTCGTCTTGCGCATGCTCAGTTGTGACGTCAATCGAACGCTAGTGTCTCCCGTCAATGATTTATTCTAGAATAGTAACATTCATGAATTGAACACTAGCGTTCTGTAAGCTTTTTATTCTCATTATTTTCTTAAAATAACCCGTTTAAACGCATTTACGTTGTTTTTATTACAATTAAATAACAAACATACAAAACAAACATGTGAAGCAAACGTGACAGTATATTTGGTTTACAATAGGGCCTACAGTGTTTAGTCGCATACGAGCATCAAACAAAACAATGTTATTTTTGTATTTTTAGAAGTTTGCCGGAACTAGAAAAAAACAACAATATCCGCTAAAAGGGTCGTGATGTATTTAAAGTACGAAAAATGTTGTCTGGATAAAATCACACATATAAGAACTGTTGCCAGTTGTAATCAGAATAGTAGCGTTCAATTTCTGAACACACCTGTTTTATATTTGAACGCATATTACGCTTTCTATGGGTCAAACTGAACACATGGGACGCGTCTTAGGCGTCAAAATGTTTAGAGTGTAGTATGCTTCTTGAAGTAGAGTATTTGTGGAATTTGCAATACGATTGGCATATTTTATCATTTGTTTCTTAATAAAAAAAGTCAAGAGGTAATTTTCCCAATTCACTATATATTGCCATGATTGATGATGATGATGTAAAATTGTATTTATAACTGCCATTAAAATCCTGTAAACTAAATTTCTCTACAATTTAAAACGTACAATAAGCCGATAAGCGCTTCTTATCTGGTTAGTGTGAGCCGTGTGGCTGCGTTCCTTATAGAGTGAACATGTGCCCTGTGTATCATCGGTTAGCATACACACTGAAACACAAGCTAAACACGACAGTTGAGTAACAAAACATCGTTGTAATCTATATCCGACTTTTACGCGCTGTACAATGTTCTATAGATATTAGCTCATTTCATTTTTAATGGGAAACTTTTCAAAGGTGTTATTGAGAAGCTTACTGTTGTTTACGTTGCATTATGGAATTATGATGGTGTTAAGAAAAACATAAACGCATCTAGTTGACGATTTATTGTAAACGACAATAACGATAGACAAACTGTAAATGTAAAACAGAATACTAGTATGCAGGAATAATGTAGAAAAACTTGAAGTATGCAGTGAAAAAACAAGTAAGATAGACCATATTTTAGTTTCATATTGAATTGCATTCTTTAAAACAGAAGACGTGACACTGCATTTTTTTTACCATATAATTATCCAAAAATTATCAATATTAAATAGTTGTCTAATATCGAACAATTATCATTTTGTCTTGACTACTAGATGTATTAAATTATTCCAACTTCTGATAATTATTAATATTAAGATTCTACTTCTCTGTCAGAGAATTACTGGTCCAAGAACAGAAAAACTTCAAAACGAACAATCTCTAATATCGATCTAAATACGATTTTTATACAGAATAATTGAAATTCTCCGATATTGCAGAAGATTTACTGACTCAAGAAACAGTGGGCCTAATAGTAGCCATACTCCAATATTAATCTAACTACCTTGTTTCACCTAAATAACGATGTAATCATGTTTTTAGATAAAATGAAATATATAAGTACAGAAAATGAAAATAAATGCAATTTCGCGCCTTCCACGCATTCTAATATGATGAATTGTGTACACTCAGCTGCATTGTTCAATATATTGGAATAAATGCGAGTCAGACTTTTACCAGACGGGAAAGGAACACATTGTTTATCTGTACTGCAGTCGTTATATGATAATGATTAGCATTTCGGAATATTTTAAGATTAATGACCAATATCTGTATTGTTCTAAGAATTTAATACCAAGCATGTACAGCTAAGTACAGAGTTAAATCACCTATAGTTTTATTAATGTTGTGAGCTTTAGGGTAAAACACTAAAAAAGTTTATTTTTCACTCAAAACGCACAGGTTTTGACATTTAAAAATAAACAACTTTTGAAAGCTTATGGTTTCCTATGGCTGGTCAAAAAGGTATAGCCTTATAGTAATCCAGGGAATACTGCATATAGCAACAAAGTCATATGAAATGCACTTTGTTCTATGTTGGTTTATGTTTACCATAGAATGCCTGGGTTATATGCATACTGTAACTTATAATAATGAACAAATTGGTGCATGGTGTATTTCTGCAAATTTTAGACAAACTAATAACAAAAATAGTTTAAGACTTCGTGCATAATATGCTACATTGAAATATTCAGTGTTTAGCACTGCACAAAATTTGCCAGCCATCAGTTAAAGATGGACTTTGATTTGCCAGATTTCACGCCAAAGATATTTATCGGATAATGAAACACTGACGCCAAGATTTGTGGACGATGTAATAGCAGACTTAGTCCAGAATGGCAGCATCAGACCATGTCCACTATGTTTACACAAAATAGATATAGTTACTTCTAATGCAATTTCTTTTTGGGTGGGTTAGAGTATTTGTAGTGTGTTGGAGTTGTATATATACCCCAGCTTAATATTTCTTCTTTGTCAGATAAACAAAAATTGGACCACGATTTGGCGCTGCTGCCAGTTGCACTAATCATCACTGGTCAGGAAAATTTAGTCTACTAAATCACCCAGCACGGACATTTAAACAAATTAAATAAGTTGAAAAAACAGCAATAATTATGAACAATTTGCCAGTACAGTATACTACTTGGCTAAAAATTTGTTTTCCATAACATCATCTGCAAAACTAAAAAAATGTATTCAATTTGTTTTTGTATAATATAAAAAAATCATTAACTTAGTCTGGCGATTTTAAAGTTTGCCCCCCCCCATAAACAATTTCTGTATCCGCCCCTGGTACCTCATAGCATTCAAGAGTTCTCTCCCCACGGTCATAATCAACTTGGTCGCATTTTAGGGCGATAATGTTTTATTAATTTAGCAAACAAACGCATGAAAAATAAACAAATAAAAACAAGCTAACTTCTAAATTAGTCCGACGATTTTCTTGGAATGAAGACAATATATTGAGGTTGCAAGATGCATTCAAAATTTAACAATAAATGGGATTCCTTTGTAATTTGAGGCCGTTGAACTAATGAACCGTGGGCCAATGCACACTCGGAATAGCAAGCTGTCCCCGTGTCCAACACCCCCATTTTCTTCCTTAACCACTTCTACTATATCGACAAGACACGTCTTAAATCATCATTTTCTTCAATGACTACTTCTACTACATTCACAAAACATTCATCTCATAATCTACAGTTGTCATCTTCTTGTGACTTGAAATGATCCTCGTCATGTGACTTTTGTCGTATTTTCACCAATATCAAATCATCTATCTATCACGATTTTTTGCATAACGCATGTACCATTTTTTTTGTTTAGACTGTGTGGCCACCACCAGTTCCATAATCTCTCCAATCTTATCTCCCATTTTAATCTGCTACTGTTTCAGCTTCCATATTTGGAATTGGTAAAGCTTTTGGATATCTAGTAGCATAATCACACATTAATACATACTTATTACAATTTCCACTTTCTGAAATGGTACATCCACAATTGGCATTAATATCACCGGCACTTTTTCATGAGCCAATATCCTAGCAGACTGTTGGAATTCGGTATACGTTCTGCAATAATGTTCCACATCTGAAAATGTTCCTGGCCAATAAATACGTTGCAATAACCTTTGTGTTATCTTCTCTATTTCTAAATGACTAGCTAAATGAATACTAGTATCATTACTGTCAGTAACGGAACCACCAACTGAGTCATCTTCTTCCGAGTTCATAGGTCTCCATTGACGAAATAATAGGCCATCCTCCCTCTATTTGCTATCATATTCTCTAGCACTATTGCTTCCCGCATCTTTTTCAATGTTACATCTGATTGCTGCAATTTTATCAACTCCCGTCTTAATCTGAATACATCAAATACTTAATTATCATTTACTGGTTATTGAATCTCATCATTATGATCAACTCTTGATCCTCTGAGCTCACCAACATCAACAACTATTTCTGGCACTTGAATTGTTCGTTACACCTTACCTTAGCATTTTTCTCTCTAAATGCTTTACTTTTGCCTCTAGTGACAACATAAGCTGTCTTCTCTTGACTATTTTTAATCATGATTACCTCATTACCCAAGATAACATCTTCAGCTAAGGCATCTAAAACACCTACATCCAGTTTTCCTTTATAAAAATTACATATGCACTATTGCCATGAGTATTTGCCTTGTACTACTAACACACACACACACACTGTCCCAACAAGTATTCACATCTTATTACAAACCTTGACCTTAACAATGTGCGAGTACACCCTGCATCTTGTCAAACTATCACTGGTTGTCAATTCAGCAGTCC